TGATTGGGCTTCAACTTTGGAGTTCAGATTTTGTTGTGTCAACATGTTCCAAAAGTGTCTAAGCAGGTTTGGATATCTTTTGTGGGTTGTTCCAGTGCTCTTGCAGGGCATGCGTTTGTAGGTTGCCAGGTTTGGGCTGTGTGTGTTGTGGTTCCAAATTGATTTTGAATTCGGAAGGTGGCCTACTTGAAGTTGTGTTTTGGGGTTGTTAATGGAACATTTGGTAGTGTGAGGGTTCATGGTCTAGTGCAAAATAGTGATCTAAGGCTGCAATCTTGCTTCTAATTTTTGTGGGAGGCACAATCTCTCTGTACCTGGGGGCCGGGGAGTGGGGATCTGGTGGTCAGGTTAGGTTTGTAGAGTTGTGTCAATAGTGGATGAGGAGAGTGAGTGTTGGTACAGTTCCAGGAATGTTCCAGCAATTCTGATATGGTTTTGGTGTAAAATTGTGTTGTAGAGGCTATGAAGGGTAGTGTGGAACGAGAGGGGCTCAGTCAGGGATTCGGCGATTGCATTGTCGAAGCATGCCATATATAGGACCTTCTAAGTCATGATCAAACCGCCTTAACCATTCTTTAACCATGCCTATCCCCCAGCCAAGGGCAACTGAGAACCCCACAAAGGTAGTGCGCTAGTGCTTTCATCTGCAGTCTAGAACCCAACATTCATCGGTGTATTGTCCTGGGTTCTAATTTGTACAGAGTTGTTATTGTATGATATAGTTGTGGATGTGGGTTTCAGGAGCTGGGGTGGCCTTTGAAAGTTTTGTTCTCATGTGCGTTGGCGGCTGTTGGGTCCATTTTCCAGTATTGCGGGGCTAAGTTGTTTGTTGTCAAACCACGGGAAATCCATATTTTGTCTTCTCTAAGAAGAGGCAGCTGTGTGCAACAGTTGTATGTGATGATGGCAGGCTTATGCCAAGACTGGGAAGAAAATAAGGCTTCAATCCGTTCATGTAATCTAACCATAATAAACTCTGTGTTGTCATTTGTTCTATTCCATATTCAATGGTGCTAAGTGCCGGAAAAGGTAGGTGTGTAGCAGCCATAGTAGATCTGTCCGCTTGCTATGTGCCCATAGACTGGACTGCGCCAACCGTTCGGTGGAGCTATCCTTACATTGTACTATTTGGGAGTGGGATCTTCCTTGATCTGCTGGTGACATTGTCTGCGTCAATTGAGCTGTGCAAACTACATACCTGTGGGGTTTCAAGTATACCTGTGTGCTGGGGGATGCCGCCGGCTGGTTGTCCTTACTGCCACAATCCCTCTAGAAGACCGTGTGCTTGCAGAGTACCTCGTGGGCCCGGAAGAGGTTTTGCAGCGGTGGAAAGGGAGGAGGACCTGGTGCAACTTGACCTTGAAGCTATTTTTAGGGAGCTGGAATTGCTCCGACTGACTGTAATCCACCAGGAACGTCGCATCCGTCAACTAGAAATGATGGTAGAGCTCTTGAGTGATTTGAACACCATGGACTGACGGTGTCCGATCTAGGTCATGACCTCTTGGAAAGCGTGTGGGATGGTTGTCAGTTGTCAGTTTGAAAAGATTGCCTGAGCTCTTCTGCGAGGGCTGCATCCAAGTGCAGGATTTGATGTGTGTGCACATATCTTCCCTTCTGTGTGCTCTGCATGGGGGTCTGTGGGCTGAAGCAATGTCTTGCGTTGCGTGAATGTGCATTTTTCAGTGCTGTGTGCTGGAAGGGTTGAATGCAATCAAGACAATGCATTTGTGCCCAGTTCATGAAGACATGTTTGGAGAGTGACTATAGGAACAGCCAAGCCAAACAAGCAGTAAGTTTACAGTGCTGTTTCAGCCAGCGACAAGCATGTGTGTGGGTTCACGTTGTCCAGGACTCTCATCCCATCTATGTGAAGTGTAGAGACATAGATTTGCGAGATTCCTCCTTGGATCGAACTCCAACTCAGGCGCTTGTGTGCAGATGAACTGTTGGCTGACTGATTTGTGTTGGTAGTGTAGGGTTGGGAGAGATTGATATGAAGTTTTGGCAGGTGCTGCGATGGCGATATCGTCGTGATTTCTTGTTGGAGGGGTGACAAGCCCAGTTTTTTCATGTGGTCTGCTTGTCCTGGAGCTATAGCTTTCAACTGGGACTCCTTAGGTCATGTCTTCGAAGCTTTCCGATCTATACCTGGATGATGGTGCGCCCCACCACACTGCTGTGCAAGTTATGTTTGTGTTTGAACTTGCCTTGGCTAGGCTATGAATGCTCTGTTGAGGCTTCTTGGTATCGAGGTGACTATGCCGTAGATTTTTGAACATTCTGCATGTGTTGGATGGTGCTGTGTCATGCTGCGTCTTTGGGTGACATGTTGTTCTGCGATCACTATATCTGCTTTGTGTGCAGTTCTCAAGCATGGCTGAGCAGGGTGTCAGCAGAAACAAGCTGCAAACATGCAATGTTGTTAGGGGTCCTGTAGTCACTTATAGGTCATAGGTCTGGTGTATGGTGGCAGATAAGATCCCAGGGTCTAAGAATTAGTGTATCTTGTGTATGTAGAGTTTGTGACCATGGTTTTACCTATGGATACTGACGATGGCGAGCAGAGATTTACTGAAGAGGGCATGCAACTGTCCAAGTGCTTCCAAGCTGAGCCGGCAATCCAGCACGATGCTTGCTAGCATGTTTTGCGTGTGCTGAAGTAGGTGTGCAATGAAATAGGTTGGTTTTGTGTGTGGGCTCTACATTGCTTTGCAAGGTTGGGTTCAACCTCCTTGTGGACCGCACCGGGAAGTTGTTACACACCCGGAGAAAGGTCTGCCAGAAGGACATTCTTGCGAATCCAAGGGTATCTTGCCTGAGTTGTTTTCATTGGGATTGTGTTTGTGAGAGTAGAAAGGGAAAGGCAGAGTGCAAATTGACATGTTGGACAGGGGCTAAGCTTTGGGTTTGGACGTTGTGTGTGTTGTTGGGTTTGCAGGTTTGGGGCTTCAATATCCAATGGTAAAGTGCCAGTGAGTATTTATCAGAATTGAGAAGGTCAGCAGCAACTGAGGCAGTTGCTGCGGTGATTCGTGGCACCCATCGTTCCCGTAAACGATATAGTGCATATATCATCCAAGATGCAATTTTGCATTGGTACACGGTGCGGAAACTTTGTCCAAGAGGGGTGTCTACACGGGCGGCCTCGGTACGGGATTGGGCATTGCGAAATGGCCAGGCTCTCCGCAAGATGGTTTTGCCCTTACTTGAGTGTGATTCTCTCTGTGGTCTAGCAGGGTTGTAGGGGTGTCTGGATATATTCTAGATCTTAATTGCTGAGGTTTCAAAGTTCAAGAAGTTGTGTCGAAGGGCCCGGTCCTCTCATTCGAAAGCCATTTTGGAATTGAAGGATGAGCTGATAGATTTCCTGCCGAACAAGAAAGCTGCTACTTACAATGGGAAGATAGAACCCTGGCGCTGAGGTTCCATGTATTCATGAGAATTTGTATGTTGTTTGAGCTGTTATGATTTGTTGTGCCTGCCTTACCCTGAGAAGTCCCATACTGCCCAGGAGGATTCTGCTAGGGAAAGTGATTCGGTAAGTATATCTGATGAAGATATGGACGATCCGGAGGCTGACGAGGTTGAGAGCTTGATTGGCCTGAGCTCCAGTGAGCTGAAGACCCCTGCAGCTTCATTTTAATCCAGTCTGCGTGTATTTTCTGATGTGGTTTTGAATATTGCTGGTCTGTTTTGTTTGGGAGGCCTAAAGCCTGTGTTTGGAATGAGTGCTTTTCAAGTGTCCACAGTTCCTGTGCTGTGCAGTATTGATTCTGAGGCAAGGTGCCTGCGGGCTCCGCTGGAAACTACACCGCCCAAGATCAATCGGGCTGAGCTGCTTGCGTGCCTTGATTTTGAATGACAATATTGGCTGTGGTGTAAGAACCATGCTGATACACATCCTTGTTGCCAAGTGTTTGCTGCAAGGAGCATCGTGTCAAATGTGAAGACGCAATCAGACAATGCGAAAGTGGATCTGGATGCTGTTGTTATGAAATTGAAAGCTCGGCGGAACGTGGTCCAGCCTGAGAATGGATATGTGCTCCCGCCTTCTGTGCCCATGCCTGCAGATAAATGGTTTCACCCTGTTGGCTGTGCACCCCTTGTGAGATTGAAGTTTCTGTCCCTTTTTTTGTTTTTGAATTACGCTGCTGTCTTGTCCTGGAGGTTCTGGCGAGCTTGAATGCCTTCTCTGTTGCCCCAAAGCCCTTTCTCCCGAGTGACCAGCTACATGGATGCAAGTCCTGAATGTGGTTCTGTTGTTGCTGGCTGCTGACTGTGATGTTTGGTTCTTTTGTGATATTCAGGTGGCAGGGAGCTGAATCCGAAGAAGGAGAGCAGGCAGAACAAGATGTTGCTGAGCCGCGAAACGGCAAGAAATCTCTCATGGGGAAGAAGAAAAAGTGTGCGAAGAAAACTTGTCATGCCGAAAAGGCCGCAACTAGCTTGCCAGACGATGGAAACCGGAAGGCAAAGCCAAAAGGTGAAGACTACTCAAAGGCAAGATTAAGTTTCATAGCTGATGCTGTGGAGAATGGAAAGTCTTCGAAGGATGCCTCGAAGATGTGGCTTTCCTCGGATCGTAGGGCTGCCCTGGTTGCCAACATGTCCCAGTCAGAGCTTGTCCGCCGTCGTTTTGTGCAGCCAGCCAAGCCTAGAAGTAAGAAGTAATTCAAATTATGAACTAGGTGCATTGTCCATGTATGTGTGTGAGAAGAATAGCCGAAGGCTATCTCGAATTGCATGGTTGAATGTTTGGTGGGTGGTGTTTGCTGTGTGATATACCCACAAGCAGGCTACCCAAACAGTTGCGCAAGCGGCTACGAATGTGAATTGCAGTTGAGCAAATTAGAAATGTGTTCGGTGTGCCACTTACTCTGCTGCGCATGCTGCAAAGCTGAGTAGGTCTGGTTGTGGGGTGGAGTTGAAAGGCTAGCCTACTTGCTGTGCATCAGTGTTGTCAGCTGCTAGTTAGTTTTTGAAGCTTTGACGGCGACATGGTTGTGGCCGAGCTCCTACGTTGGAGAGCCCCGATGGCCTTGATCCTGATTGTTCTGCTCTTGGGATTCAATCCGCTTCTGGAGCAAAGGGAGGATTGTCTGCTAGATGCTGGTGTTTGCAACTCATTTTTAGATTTCTTGCTCCCAGAATTAGTAGCTAGTATGCTGTTGCAGGACAATGATTATGTGGAGATCTTTGCAGGGGCTGGAGAAATCAGTGGCCGACTTCGTCAGGCAAGGTACTATGCGTTGTGATGTGTAAACCTTGCTTGTGTTGTTGGAAGGATGGAGCTGGTGGCTCCGCTATGGATTTGCTTTGGAATCCCATGGTCTTCGATCTGACTACGGATGTTGGCTTTTCCTTGGCGCTCAATGAGGTCCGGAGATTAAGGCCTGGAGGGGTCTGCGTCATTGCCCTGTGTTGCTCCTCATTCAGTTCCATGTGGCTTGCCTGTCATTTCTTGCGTGTCTAAATGTTGGCCATTTCATGTGTTGTATGAGCCCCTGGGCCTGGAGTTTGGGTCGCATCTGAGGTCCAGAGCTACAAGTGGACGATCAGCAATTACGCCATTGGGGCATTGTGGATTTTCATTTGTTGCCAAAGGAAACTTGCTTCTAGCAAGGGTGGTTCTTTTGCTCATGGTGGCATCCTTCAAGAAGGCGAGATGGCTGCTGGAGCAGCCGCAAGGCAGCACTATGCCAGAGCATCCGAGATGGTCCTGGTTTGTGGACAGGGTGCCTGTTTCCTGGAAGCACTAGTGGCATGATTAAGGCAGTGTTTTCTGCAGTGCAGCTGGTCAAACATGATCTGTTGAGGCCTGGAGAGGATCGTGGTGGATGGCCAAATATGGGGCACCAACGCCTAAAAGAGAGCTGGGTTGGTCTAACGATGAAACCTTCATGCGGGAAATCGTTGCCAAAGGAGGCTACCTCAGTCAAGCTGAAAAGGCAAGGTTGGGCAAGAGCATGCTGGCCACAGTTGGTGTTAATTGGGCTGGCAAGAGAACCTATTCTGGTGTAGCCAAGAAGTTGAAGAACAGCCAGCCTGCTAGTTCAGTTGAGCATACTTTTTTCTTTCTTTGCAAAGTGTACAAACCTGTTGAGCTGTCAGCAACTTGTTACTTGAAAATGTGTTTGCAAGGCGCTACCCTCCCTCGTTCGGCCAGAAGATCCTGGAAGTATTCCGCAATCGTGGACATGTAACTTTCCCTGAAAATGTTTGTTGCGAATTGTCTGCTCTTGTGGAGATGTAATCTGCTGGTGCTAGTCTTCAAGACTGGGTGTATGTGATTGTGCCGGCCTTTAGTGCTGCTCAGGTTGATGTTCCAGGTCCCCGAGACCCGTTTCAAGTTGACCTTCGAAGATCAGATTATGAGCTCTGGAAACACTATCGTGCAGACATTGCACATGATGTATGGGAAGATGATGCTCTGATTGTATTGAGAACTTAACATGTTATGCACAAGTTCTTCTGCTTCTGGTGCTCTGCAATCCAAGGCGAAATTGGCTTCTGTGATCCACTATTTGATTGGATGCAACAAGCTCAGGGCTCCGGGACAATGGGTGCCTTGCTGGCAGTGCTACGAATGCTTATGTGGTTTGGAGGGTCTTTGTGCAAAACTTTGTGGGTCTTGACTAATCCTCTTTGACTTTGAAAATAAGCAGTAATGTTGGTTATGATATGCGGCTGTCATGGGGTGACCCAGTACATATACTGCCCCTTGACCATTTTGGAGTCCCTGAAGTAATCTTCTTTGTATGAAAAAGATATGAAGACCTTTACAGGGTATGATGTGGCGGTCTTCACGTGCCAAATAGTTTGACTTCCTAGCCCCCCCCATAAAAGTGGAGCCCCTCACAATTTACCCATGACCTTTAAGGATGAGAGCTCTTGTTGGTTATGATCTATTGGGTTCATGGTATCTCTAACATCAGCGGGCAAATGCATGGCCAATTTTCACCTGAATACCGCAAATTTGCGAATTCCATGTTGTTGTTCTTGTGAGAACGAAAATCACGAAAATCATGTTTTAAATCACGAAAACCACGGGGAAATCACGCTGGTGGGTTTCTAGCTCGGAGAAGCAGGGAAGCCATGAACATTGTGAAAACCCCATGTTGTGGTTGTGTCAGCACGAAAATCACGAAAATCATGTTTTAAATCACGAAAACCACGGGGAAATCACGCTTGCTGGGCTCTAGCTGCTACTAGCTTGGAGAATCAGGGAATCTGACTGGTACACCATCTGGTTGTTCTTGTGAGAACGAAAATCACGAACACAATGTTTGAAATCAAAACCACGGGGAAATCACGCTGGTCAGGCTGTAGTGTGCAGAAGCAAGAAAAGCAAGAACATTCCGAAAACCAGGGTAGTTGTAAATGCATATATAAAAAGGTGGGGCACTGAGCTTGTTGTGACTGATAGACTATGATATGTTCTTCAATAAATGGTGTGTGTGTTCTCCTTTGCTAAGTGCTGAAGAAATTGATTGTGAAAGTCTTGTGCCTTGAGAACAACCCACTCATGAATCTTGCTGGAATGTGGAGAGGTCTTCTGCGTAGGGTATATTGCCGGGGCCAAAGGGTGTATTCAGATCTGTAAAATGTATTTTCATTCTGGGGAATGGTGCCTGAGCATTCCATACCTTCCACAGTGCAGAGCTACAAGTTAGCAAAGACCCTGAAACAATGTTCTTTTGTTCACAGCTCACCAACTCCGGGAACTAGAGTAATATAAATGTTTCTAATCTAAGGTCCAGGCCATATAGGGTTCAGTGTTGCCCATATGACACGATTTGTCTTCAGGAAGTCAAAGAACAAAGAACCTGGCAGAAGGCAGGAACTAGATACGAACAGACCCGGTCAATATTCTTATGTAGGTAAATACAGTATTTGCCAGAATGCTTTCAGACCATGCCACAAGCCTCAGAAAGCAATGACAGACATAAAACCATATTCTGGGTGTTATCTACGAAGGGGAACCTTAAAACATGTTATACAGATGTTCTAGATCTAGCTACAGTAATTGTCTGGGCAGTGGTGTGGCCAGGATACGGAGCTGTCAATGTGCAAGGAGTCTCTTGGCAGCGCTACAAACGCTTCTGTGTGTTTTTGAGTGTGTCTGGGCTTTGCGTGGCTTTGCCATATGAGGTTCATGATCAATGGTAAGAAAGACCTTACCTTGTCTGAGAAGCTGATGATGTATGCGCTCAGCCGCTGACTAGTAGCTGGCATGTTTGTCAAATTCATGCACTTGTGCTCTTGCTGCAAGGCCTATAATCTGTTTGTGTTCTGAAGTTCTGCAAAGGCAATAGTTCGACATCTGGGTTGATAATCAAGATTTTGCCTGAATCCTGGACAATTTAGGATTCTTGCGATTTTTCATGCCTTGCTGCTGTAGCAGCCTTTGGCTGAAGAGTGCGTGATTTAGCGTTCTTTGGGACCTATCCAGCGTTCTATGGCACTTACTTTTCGAGATATCCGTGATTTAGACTTTTTGGTTCATCTGAAGCTGCTGGGGGGCAAAGAACATATTTGCCAGTTCTGGAGGTTCTGACAGCAATTTAGACTTGCAAACAACTTTCCAGGTATTTTGGGTGCCTGAAGAGTGAAATTCGGGATTTTCGTGATTCCTGACCTGTGCCTGTGATATCCGTGATTTCCTGCGACCTGCGATTAAAGGAGCCGTTCTGGGTTCCCCTCATGAAACACATATGGCTGCAATCTGTGTGTCTCTAGGCTAAGTTGTTTGTGGGTAGGTACAGGAAAGCTTTCTTACCACAACTCCAATAACATTCTGAACTTGATGGTAGAAGGTTTTTTATTTGTCTTCTCTCACAGGTCTGACTTGCATTGTTATTTTTACGAAAGGTGTTGTGAACATGTGTGCCTGTGCCTATGTGTGATATATTTTGCAAAGGCTTACAGGTAAGCAATTAAGGTTGTCCTGAAAGTTCCTGCCATGCTGAGCAAGATGCCTGCTAAAGCTGTGTCTGAGAAGGCCCAGCAAAGGGAGAAGAAGGTAAATGAAATTTTAGCCCGGGGTATGGCGGTCAACCGCCTGCACAAGGCGCGCAGGGACAGCTTGAAAAAAGCTGGCAAGGATGATGATCAGTATGACCTTGATGTCAAGTTGTTGGAAGATGGTAGCTGCGAGATGACGCTTCGCGAGCTCATGGAGGCTGAGAACCTATCGCTGCCGCAGGCCATCCAGGTTATGGAAAAGTTTCGCAGCGATGCGTCAGGTGCCAGCTCTGATGTGAGCCATTTGAAGGATAACAGGCCAGCTGCCTCCAGCAAGCGGGCCAAGGGTGACAAGACATCCAAAACCGACAACAAGCTTTCGCAAGGAAAGGGGAAGAGGGAAAGGGATGAGGAAGGAGAGGAGAAACCTGCGAAAACAAAGAGCAACAGCCAGCCAAGCAAAGGGGCCAAGGAAGGCGATGTGTCCAAAGCCGAGCCTAGCCAGGGTGATAATGCAAAGCAAAAGAAAGCCGAGAAGAAAAAACAGAAGGAAGTTGCAGCCTTGTTGAAGGAGTTTGAGGATAAAGATGAGGAGGAGGTAGCGCCCAAGCCGAAGAAAGCAAGCAAGAAGGAGCGCAAGGAAGGAGATGCGGGTTGCGAGGATGCAAGCAAAAGCAAAAAGAAGAAGACCTGTGAGGTTGAGACCCCCTGTGAAGCCCCCAATGAGCCACAGCCAGCCAGCCAGCCCAAGCGCAAACGAAATGAGGCTGGTGTTGAAAGTGAGCTTGCTGCTGAAATTGGTGTTGATGGTGAGGTTGCAGGCAAAGTTCCGAAAAAGCCCAAAGCCAAGACTGAGCCCAGCGGCGAGGTTGAGGTGAAAGCAACCGCTGTGCCAAAGACGTCCAAAGTGCCTGCAGCAACGCCCCCGGATCTTGCAAACAAACCTGTCAACCAGCTGCTTGCGATTGAGTGTGGCAAGGTGGAAGCCGATGCAACCCCCCCAGCCCCAGCACGGCGTGTGTCGTCAAAGAAGCAGCCTGAGACTCTGTGCACAAGCAAAGGAAAGGAAGTCAATGATGAAGGAAACAAGGAGCCGCCTCAGGAAGCAGCAAAGAAGGAAGGCAAGAAGAACAACAGCCGCCTGCGTGAGTACTCCCAAGACCGCCAACCTGACATGCCCGAAACGGATACCTTTGAGACTTCCTGGCCCACTGCTTTCAATTAATAATCTTGTTTCTTATGGTCTGATTTCCAGCTAGCTCCCTGATTTGCATGTCCTTCATTTTTTTCGCTCAGGTCTTGTGCTTCCCTTGAATTGGGGCAGCAGCATCTGCAGGCTGAAAAGTCAGCCAATGGCTGGGTTGCTGAAGAGTCGGAGGCTGGGAAGACCAACCTTTCGGATCTCCTTGAGTCGCTCCTTGGATCTTCTTATTAAGGCTTAATTAAGGCTTTGGGTCTGCTTGGGGCTTTAGGGTTTGGGGCTTCAGGGTTTGGAGTCTAGGGTTTAGG